TCATTGGCCTAAATTGTATAGTATAATTCAAAATACTTTAAATCATTTTTCACATTCTCATATTCATAGCATGGAAAATTTGTTTTCCTTCTTTTTTTTATAACCTTTCGAAGATTTTTTCATTTTTTACTTTCTGCACATTTATATGGCAATGCTTTTTTCCATCGTTAGTGGATATTTGATGTTAAAACGTTCTTCCCTTGATAACTAATAATACTTGCGCATTCCGTTAAATCTACAGTATATCTTATTTTTTTGTGTCGTAGATACAAATTGCAAAAAACAAATTTATTCTCCGGCTGCATTGTCTATAATATACTTAACTAATTCCTTAGGATTTTTCGCCATAAATACCTGAGATTTTCATTTCCATAGCAGGGCTTTTTGCTTGAACATCCCATTGCTTTTCATTATTGCAGCATTCATTTTGTGAAGGCAATGGTAAGTGGGTTGATATATATCAACAGCTGTACTTCAATTTTTATTATTTTTATCAATGGGTTTTAGTATTCTTTATAAGATACCAAATTAATATTTGTATTTTCTGATTTTTATTCATGTGACAGCACGGTTTTATGATTGCATGTTGAAAGTGACGATAAAGCAAAGGAATCCTTAGGGACGTACATTAGAATTCAGTAAATTTCTCATTAACATCTTAATATTTCCTATAATATTTCGTGCATTGTAATTCGAAGGTGATTCTTTATTTTCTTTTGAATTTGAATGCTTTTTGTTTTTTTTTCTACTAAGCTATTAGAATGATCTAACATAGCTTGATGAACTAATATAATTTCTGGATTTTGCATTTCGTGAGCGAATTGACCAAAATTTGGTCTGGTCAGTGGCTACTTTAGAAATAACATGAATTATAACAAGATTTGGCAATTTAATTTTCTTTCTTTCTGCATAGAAAATACAAAGATCCTAATGTATGATCTGTCAAATAATTATAATGTCAAATTTCACAGCAGTTTAAACGAAGATTATCAAATATCATCCACGAAATAGGGTTACTGTTAACAGCTTCCAGAAATAATTTTCAGAAAAAAAAATCCCGATTGTTCATTCCTATGCATTATTCATTTAATTATTTAATCATTTTTATCATTTTTTGATATTCTACGAAGGATGAATGAACATTCTTCATTCGCTTTTTATTAGTAACCAAATAAACTGGCGAAAGATGGAAACTACTACGACATAAGTGACCATTTCGATAAATTGAATAAGTGGAACATAATCTAATTGGATATAAGATTTGGAGAGGGTCATCCTTTTTAACAATCTAATTGGTTCTCTTCATGAAGAGCACATAAATAAAGAAATTTATCATGGAAGGTTAAGTAATTTGTGGTTTAATCTACCATATGGAGCCACTGGACCTTATCAGATCCGATTGCCCATAATCTTTCACTCATTTTATCCTTTTCATAATTTTTCTTCAATTTAATTTCGACTTATTATGTCTTGTTGTTTGGAATCAAGGTCTTTTTAATCCAAGCTAAAAATATTCCGGAGATTTTTTTCGATAAACTGAGCGAGTTATTAATACGCTTACCACTGCCTGGAAGTCGGATGCATTGATTAATGATATTTTAATGTTATATGGAACCATTAAATAAAAAAAAAGCAAGAGTAAGAATTACTTAAATTTACCAAAAAAGTAAAGAATTAACTTTTACTGTGTTCCGAAATCCCTTAATCTTAAGTAAATTTAAATAATTAAATTAGAACCGTCTTATATCGAAATTTAATCAAAATATTGCTTAATTCAACTGCAATTTTAATTGTAATTTTAAAAATGTCAAGCATCAACCAAAATAATCAGAACGCTGAATGAAGCAAAAATTATCAATTATTCTGCATTGAAATATTTGCATTTTTGTCTACTTTACACTTTTCACTAAAATATAGAGAAGATTCCGTTCCTCGTTCGACAATGAAATACCCAAAAAAGGCTGTTGGGGCCTCGTAGCGACATATTCATGCAGTGAATTGAATGATACACCTTACGCTCAATTCTTAGAAATTTTTTTCTTTTTCAGATTGGTTATTTCATGCATTCTTTCATGTTATTTCATGCATGCATTCTATTTTAAAAGCAGAGATTCAGATGACTGGAGAGCATTTAATTCGGTTAAATTCATCTGAAGTTTAAAATCTAAACGGCGATTTCATAGACTTATTTCTATCAAATTCAGTGCTTGGGATTATTGCTAAGAAGTAATGCAACATTTATTTCGGAAATTCCTATCGCATAAGCTTTTATTTTGCAGTGTTTGCAGCAGATTAAGTTAAATTTTAATGGTAATTACGGTGATTAAACAAAAAAATTGAGAAACTTCGTAGAAAATTTTTGTTGACTGTTTTTCATTCAAAAATTTTAGTGACGCGGTGATAAAATGCCTCTGCATCATCAATAATCGCATGAATCTAAGCACTGCTGATAACGTACAATTGCAAAATACAAATACTACAAATACAGTCTTGCCATATAGCGTCATTTTCAATTCCATTTGTATAGTTTTAGGAAAACTTTTCATTGAAGTTTTATTATATGTCAGTTTTTTCTTTCATCTTCGTGGAATAAAAGCAAAGAAAATGGCTTATAAAATAAAACGACGAAGAAAACTGTATCAAAGTCAATAGTATTATTTTCGCTAAAAACGGAATTATCCTCCTTCGTTTTAGTTATGCTTTCGTTTAAAAGAAAAGTTTGTAAAATCATTCGTTTCATTGGCTTTTCAATCATCAGTTTTATTCTTGGCTTTGAATATTCTTTATGTGGTAGCCATCTCTAAAGCAGCTGGTTAAACAGTTGGTGATTTTGTAATAGTCAACGAGGTTAATTAAATTTACAGAAAATTTTTAGAGGTGATGTAGAGATTCTTTTTTATTTGCTTAGCGATACATTCTGATCGCACGGCTGTGTTCTTTTTATTAAATCTGAATGTACTTGTTTTGGTCATGGTGCGCTCCATTAGCTAATTTTTGCTTTTCGTAATAATCATCTAAATCTAAATCCACACACGGCTGTTGACTTTGACTTGCTCCATTGACGATTAGAGTAAGTATTACCAAGCCTCCCTATCCAAAGCCATGCTGAAGCCACTCTTTAAAAAAAGGTCTGAGAATTGCTTTTTTATTTTGTTATTAATTTTTTTGAAGATTGGAAAATTTTTCAACAGATTCATTTGATGCATATTTTCTCTACTATGCAGAGTTAAGAAATCTTTTTTTTTGATCCCAACAATAATTCACAAAATTTCAAAAATTCTGAGTATAGAAATTGCATATGAAATATATAGATTTTTTTTTAGGATTTTCATACCATTATGAAATTATTATGTGTAGAATGAAAAAAATTTATTCGAATTTATTTATATATTCAATATTATTATAATATTATTTAATATAATAAAATAATATTTAATTTATCAAATTTATTTGTAAAATTTGAAATTTAATTTAATTAAATTTAAAGACTTAAATTCAAAAATTTAATTAAAATTTAATTTAATTTATTTAATTTAAATTTAATTTTTGGAGTACTGAATTCTTATTCATTCTACTCAAGATGATGAATTTCAGTAGATTCTTTCCCAAAAATTTGCAGTTACCTAGTTTTCTCAAAGAAATGGCCACAGAATAAAATAATAGATTCAAAGGAAACAGAGATTAGCGAAAGAAATTAAGAAATCTTTAAGAAAAAATAAATTTAGTCGTCTCTTTCAGCAATCTTATCAAAAAATCTAAAATTCCTTAAAAACCGTTTATTGTGGATTGCAATTTATTTCTATTTAAACGGAAAATTTTCAAACAGTCGTTCATAACGAATGAATCACTGAAATATTTATAACTTGAATGAAACTGAATATTGAATGGTGCTGAGTAACTGAGAAAACAATAATAAAATACTATCGTCGAATGTTTTTTCCTTCTCGCTATGCTCAAAACAGATTTATGTTTACTCATGAGTTTAATATTTAGCGAAGATGAGTCGTGATGCCACATAGCATACAAATATTTTTTCGACGAACACTCCGCGATTCTAAGATGATAAGGTGAAACGGCCATGTTCAAGGCTTTGTTAGTCGAACAGTTATGTAATGAAATAATGAACAAATTTCAATGAAATTTTTTGTTTCATGGCAAAATAAGTTATTGTTTTTATGCAAGGATAGCTTTTATGTGGAATATTTCCACTAATATATAGAAATATTAGAATGCATGGAAATTTAATGATATGCAATTTATATGCTGTTCCTCGACATGTTCAGATTCAAATTTTTAGAAATTTATGATATAAAAGTTGTATTCAGCTGTGTTAGCTGAGTTTTTTGTCGATCTTGCCATACTATATTCTTATATTTTTTAGCTTTGACTATAAGTATGCTCGATTTGACGTCCTTTCACCTAACAGTTCCTACAGTTTTCGGTTCGACCCACCATACTGATTGCTGCAGTAGAGTTTTTCGTCACTGGGTGATAGAACTACGGTTAGGTCCATAGCATCACCCTTATTTTACCACTAATGAGAATTTATTCCCACCAAGGAGCAAAAGTCGAATACTACCAAATCAGGAATAATGAGTAGTGTACGATGGAAAATTCTTTGGATTATGAAGCTTCACATTATTTTTACTATTTCGTGTTTCGAGTGAAATTTAACTTATTTTCCAATAGGTCTGAAGTTTTTTCTCAAGTTCTTTTTCGATTTTTCTCCAGGAATATTTTATACCATTTAAAATTATCATATTAAGTACCAAATTTTTTTCTTATCTGGCAATGTTGCTTTTTGGCTTTCTGAAGTAATATTTTCGAATAGATAAGCGTTAAAATGGTTCTTTTTGTTATTTGATAAGATAACGTGAAGCAATTTTTAGTATCGGATAGATACCAGTTCCAGTCGTTCAGTGGATAGTAATAATAAAGTACAGTGAACGGCTGGTAGATAAATCTATAATCTCTAATTTCTAAACTAAAAGATTAAGAAAATGGATTCAGAAAATGCGATTCGTTTATTGTCTGTAGCGGCTGCAAAGTCGTTCTGTTTTCTGTTATATCATCATTTATATCATCATTTATTTTCAGAACCATCGCTTATCGTTATGTGGTTTTTCATTTTTATTGGTATTGTTCCATTCTGTTGGTCAGCAGATCCTTCGTCAGGTGGCTTCTATATTTTTTTTTGATTTTTACGTCGCAATTCTTGTTTTGAACTAAATAGTTCGCATGGGACTTGCCAACAGTTTGTATAATAATTTTTACCATCTGCTTTAGACGATTTCGTTTATATTTTGCATCTAAACATGTTTAAGTTTTGAATCATGATCATATTAGGTGTATTAGGCAGTAATGGTGAGATAAAAAATCCCAAAAAAATAAATAATATAAAAATTTTATAGGAAAAAAGAAAGCATAGGGAAATAATCCTTCAAATAATGGTCGGTTTATACAATTATTGACGTAATGGTCAATGGTCATTAAACTTGCAAAATTTTAATATTTTATTTTTAAAAAATTTTTTTAGAATGCTCGTTTCAAAATATCGAAAAATTTATTGGCCATTTTAACTTCTCTATAATTGGCACACTTTCTGGCTGTTCATTAGTCTACTTTGTCGGCGATGAGATTTCGGGAACAAATTTTACCTATTCTGATATTCTTGGAAAGAAATCTATTTGTAATAACCGGCCCATTTTTTTCATGGACCATAACGGTAATATCGTCCATTTTCAGCGAAATTAAACGAAATAAAAATATAAAAAAAAAGATTATTCAAAATAGCAATAATGCTAAATAATTCTGGTTAATTTTTAAAACAATCTTCACAAAAGAGAAGCTTAATGATTGATTCTTTTATTAATCATTTGATTTTTTTGGTCAAAATTTGCACTTCATATCACCTGGATGTTGTTTTTTCGTTTCATCCCTACTTGTCGAACTTTTGCACATTCTGTATCTATCATATATACTTTATTACTTATTATACTTATACTTTATTATTATATATACTTTATTTTGCATTGTATCTGTTTTTTAAACTTGGATTTTAAATTTATTTTTGTTTTTAGAATATGTGATTGGTTTGCCAGTATATAAAAACTTGTATGTCACAAAGTGTGATTGGAAAAAGTATTCAAATTTTTATATTTGTCAATTTGACAAGGCCACTTGGGGAAACAAAACAATTTCAGTGGAGGCATTTATGCCCAAGTATTTGGCAGATGCCAATAATTCCACTTTGCATGTGATTTATGAAAACGGTAAGTATTCCTGCCAAGCCGTAACGCTAAATTGTGATTACGAACCATTTAACGAGAAAGCTATTTTAATAAAGATCGCCAAAATTACAAAATAAATCAAAATAAAATTGAAATTATGAAAAAATGAACTAAAATATTTGTGTTGAAATAAAAAGCTGGAATTGCTCATTCCAAGCTTTATAAGGAGATTACAAAATGAATTGTAGATAATGGAGATACTGTCGATAAAGCTATTGATTTAATCAGTTTGAAGCCGATAACGACTGTTGTCCTCGGTGATAGTGAAGTAAAATATGCTTCTTATGACAGTGATTTACAAGTAAGTATAGCAGAAAATTTGTTAGTTATTGAACTAATTTTTCTTACGCATAATCACATAATTTTTCTAGAAACTGGTCAAGTATAATTTTTCACATTTCAATGGAATTTTAGTAGTCGATAATCGCATGTTTCTCGAGTTAGCAACCTCAATTCAATAATTTTTATAGTAATTTTTAAACGGAAAAAAAATTCAGTAATTACCATAGTTTAATTCAGCATTAAAAAAGTAAATTTCAGCGACTGTACTATAAAAGTCGGATTGATATTGGATATCGGACAGTTGTAAATATTAAGGGTGCATTTGAAAATTTTTCCCATTTTACTGTTTTAACCAAATTTAATAAATCTTTCTCTGATGCTGTATCATTCAGCAACAATTTCTACATCGTTAAAAAGGTACATGTTTTTAATATTTTGAAAGTTCAACGTTCATTCTGATTGGTTTCTTCATGATTTCTGATGGCTGATAAAAAATTGGCTAAATAAAGTAAATATAAATGAAATAAATCTGAAAAATAGTAAATTCTGGATTGAATATGGTTAATTCTTCATTTGATAAATTATTCTGGGTTCTAAATTAATCAGTCCTTCAACTCTATTTCATTTGGTTAACTTGATGGGCTTTTGTAATTTTAATCTGTAATTTTTCTGTAAAGAGGTTCCACTGGTCACTAATTAGAGTGTTAGCCTTGGTTTTGGTTTCGGTTTTATGAAATTTTTCTCAACTTATTTTGCATATTCATTGTTCAGCTGAGACATTCAAATAATGATAAAAATCGTGAATAAATGTACATTTACCATCTTCTATAAATAAAATGCTGCACGTTTTTTTTCTGATAGTTAATTTGTTTGAAGTGATCGAAATTTCTATTACCAATTATAAATATAAATATTACTGATCCTGTGCGTCATGAACCGTGGTAAACAGTTGATAATGAAGAAAATGGACAAATTCTTTTTATTTGCATAAACGAAAAAAGATTTGATGATAAAGAATGCAAATAAACTAACAGTTTCAAGAATCGCTTTTTCTTAGATATTTTTTCATTTTTCAATATTTAATAAGAGATTAAGCATTGTAGGAAACACTTGATGGAGAGTACGAGTTTCACATCGGGCACGAAAATAAAACAGCAACAATGTGCATATCTAAGATGGCCGAAAATCTTGATCTGCAGATTTTGGTTGACACTGGTGCAGGTTCCGTGTATTCTATGCTTCGATCTCAGATAGCACCTCTACCTATTAATTTCACCACTTATGCTCCTACTACACCTACTAGTGGAGCATCGTCACTCATTGCTTTATACACATTTTTATTACTCGTTATTTTCACTATTATTTATCGACTCTGAAGTTACTGAAGTTCTCATAAATTTAACATGTCGTTAGTGGATCATCTTTAATTTCATTAGTAAAGAGACATTAAATTCATTAGCATTCCAAGTAGTTGATGGATGACTGTTGATGAGATGGCAACCAATCAATATGATGAACATAAATGTAAAGTTCATGTTTCATAAAACATCTTTGTGGGGCCTTCCTTATCTTTCCAACTTATAAACAGTAATCCGAACAATCCAAAATTTATCGCCATTTTTAATTTTTCTCGGCTAATTTAGAATGATTTTAAAAAAAATAATAGTCGAGTAATTTTGAAAGGTCATTTTTGCTCAATTCCACCTTAATGTTCGGTGTATTTTTACTGCTTATGAACCATCATAAAATCTAATCTTTCGAATTTTGGTGATTATGGTTGTGTACGACATGGCACTAATACTTATTTGCGATGCCCTTTTTATTTCATGTAGTACCACTTTAATTTATTTAAACAAAAATATCAAATTTGATCGATTTTCTCCTCTTCAATGTCATTTATACAAGCATCGTTTTAAATCAATTTTAGTGTCATTTCAATCAGTATTGCTTTTCACTGATGTTAAACCCACTGAATTTTTTTATAGTTTCAATTAAAATTGATTTTATTTTGAATTCAAAAAAATTGATAAAGTTTTTTGGTGACAGTTTTTTTAATTTTTCTTGTTTATTTCCTCTTCTGCTTTCTATTTTTTCATTAAATTATTCATCTACATTTACCATGATTGCTTGATTTTACTTATAAGTGTTAAAGCAGTCAGCAATCAATATTTATTTAGTCGTTTTTTCCTAATCTGGTCCGAAACTTTCGATGGTTTTTCGGTTTAGTATTTCTTTTCCTTGGAAAGACAAAAATTATAAAAATTAATTAATTAATTAAAAATTTTGTTGAATATGTATTTGAAATTGCTATTGCTGTTAATCATAATGTGGAGGAAATAAAAAATAGAACCTAAAATTTAGTATCAAGTTTGCGATCATGGTTTGAGAAATCTCTTCTTAAAGGCATCTTAAATTTCTTCATTTTTTTGATCAATTGCTGTAGAATTTTCAGTAAAATTACTGCTTTCTAATTTATATTTCTTCTACTCCATTTGATCAATTTTCCCAAAAAATAGAAATACGACAAACTTTTTTTGATAGTTTTTCACTGGTTGTTCCTTAATAATGATTTAATAAATTTTTTGATGATTTAATCGTCTTAAGAAAGTGGTACAATTTAAACTTAAAAACGTATTGGAATTTGGAAAAGTGATCCGAAAGTATGCTAAGTTTGAAACCTAAAACACAACTTTGATCTTTTGCTGGATCGGTATAAGGAATATTGGGTCTTCGGTCCATATTTTTTTTTAGCAATATTGAATTAATTATCCATTATTGAAATTTGTTCTGTTCTAGAAACCCAACAAAAGTCTAAGATGTTTGAGAGAAATATCTAAAACATCAAAAATAAGTGGGTTTTACGATTAAACTTGAAAAGCAATATATAAAGAGCTAACCTTTTGAACTTCAATTGTCAAAATTCGGTGAAAATAGAAATATACTTTTTTTTAAGTCATGAAAACGAAGCTTTAAAATCATTGGCTATGGATAAGAAAAGAGTAAAAGACTAATTAAGAGAATAAATAAAAAGCTATGAAACTCTTTAGAAAAAAATTTCAACAATAAAAGGTATAAGAAGAAATAGAAAAATTTTACAATTGATAATCATCTACTGAACAAGATTTTTTAGCTGATAAAAACTTAAAAATGACAAATGTGTGAAAAATGAACATAAGAAGAAAATGCGCAAACTGCACAAGTTATATCCATTTCTTTTTGGAGGAAATCATCAGGAAATATAAAGAATTATACATTATGACCCTTTGATGAATGTATGACAATGGCTAAACGACTGAGTATGTTCTATTCTACTGCTACTCATGTATTGCTCAGATTATCATCTTAGATGGTTTGACCATCACCCTGATAAGAAGCCAGTTATCTGAAAAAGTTGGATGACTTTTATCTATTCCTAAGTGACTCTTTGGCAAAAATTTTTCATTCTAACACCAGTATAATTTATTGCCTAACCGTCAGTAAAGTAAACCTACCTAAAAATGGTGAGCGTTGCAACAGAGAAATTTGTAATTAGCATTCAGTCTTTTTGAAGCATTCAAATCTCTAAATAGCTATCATACTTCTGGATTTAAAATGGAGATATTATATTTCGCCTATATTCTAAATTGTACCTACTTAGTTCATTAACCATCAGTTATCACCATATTTTTTTAGATAAATTAAGCCAGTTAAAATGGTTTTCAAGAATTTTTTGATTTTTATTAGTAAACTTGTATTTAGCCAATGACCATTTATTCAGCTTATTTTATTAATTTTTTCCATTATCGATTAGGTTTTCACAAACTATTTTCTATATCACGTTTAAACCACTATGTTATCTTGAAAAAGCAAAAGTTTGTAGATTTTAATTCAACTATTTATTTTTTTTTGGGCTCATCCTTAAATTCTAATTTTTACTTAATTTTAGCGATATAACGTACAATTTTCTAAGGAGCGATTCCATTAGCATTAAGCTCACAAGCACTGAGGTTCGGAATAAATGATAAGGAAAAAGATGTTATAAAGGATGTTGCACTTTTCATAGCGGAATGATGAAATCGTTGCTTTCGTTTTTGGTTTCAGTGTTCTGTGGGAGATGATTTAGAAGATAATAATAATGCTGTCAATCTAATCTAATTATCGAGTATTGAAAAATAGAAAATCCTTCTCTTTTGCTTTCAATAAATTTATCAAGTGTTATCAAATATCAATAAATATCAAGATGCTTAATGAGTCAAATGAAGGAAACTTCATTATATTGCCATAAAAGCCGAATTCGATGCGAATTTGTTGTCAAAAATAATGGAAACTTTTCATTAAGCTCACAAGCTTTCATTTGTTCTATTCTCTTCGCATTATGGCTTTGTTGATGAAAATTTAGAAATTTATTGCTGAAAATTCATATTAACCTAGCACTCTAATTGATCAAATGTCTTAAACATTTGTTCCTTTTTTTTCAAAACCTCCTAATTTCAGATTTTCCAAATCTTAGTGGGATATTCCATTTATATAAACGAACCGTCCTCCCAAAGAAGGCAATCTTTAAAGTTCATTTTATAATATATTAACCTCCAAAAATTTTTTATTTTTCTCTACTAATCCACAAGAAGGGTGGATTTGGAATATTGTTTGATCTAAACACTGAAGATGTTTTATCAAAGTACATTTTTCATTCAAATTGCGAACTTTCCATATTGATTTATGATTTGAATACTCCTATTGTTATTCAAGCAAATCTATGTATGGTACCTCAATTTTGAAAGCAATTTTAAGCTCACTGGTCGTTTTTCTATTTTGAATTGTTGACATGAGTAACTCGGTTGTTTTGATCAATGTTTTTGAAATTTTAAATCATGAATTTTAAATGCAAAATTTTAACATCATAAATCATTTAAATTGTAATTATATTCCATTTTACGTCGATCTTATATTTCTTATAAATTTAAAGCTATTTTGAACCACAAATCAACTAAAACCATGCGATTGATCATCCCATTTTAGACTGATCGTAGTCAATTGTGATAGCGTCTTGTCAATCAGTGTAACTTTTTGTTGAAATAACATTTTTTTGTTTTATTTATTTTAATCATTTAATTTAACTTTTAACTTCATTAAATCCAAATTTGATTTTGTCCTTATTTTAAAACATTGTCAGTTTATTGCCGAATATTTACTTATTGCGTATGATCTATTATGTTTTCAGTAAAGGCTTCGAACATTGGTTGTTTAGTTTTTGTTGCCTCTTTTATGTCCCTATTTTCTACAGATCGAGTTTTTCCAACTAAAATATATTCAGTTAAACAAATGGACAATATTAATTATCTATACAGAAATTAAGCAAGTATTGTCCGAAATAAAATTTCTTAATTTTTAAAAGACCCCGAAAATGGCTAATCAATTATTAATTAAATTGTTTTGTATACGTCTTTTTTAGTTGCAATTGGAAAAGATAATTGTGGTTGCAATTTTGGTAAGAAATGTTTCTTTATTAATAATTTCTTTCTCCAGCATTCATTATTTTGCATTAAAATGAATCTTCGGTGTTCTTAACTTTTGTATAATTTGCATAAGAAATATTAAGAAATGGTGACCTTCATGGTGACCTTGGCGAAAAGTTTAGAAGGATAGGATGACTCAATGTTAGGTTAAATTCATGTTAGGTTGCTTTGGTTGACGTCAAGCAGCGCGGGCTTGCTCTTTGCCTCCTTTATAGGAGTTTTGTCATTTAAAATGATCTCTCTGGCGAGTGCTTTTCATCATAATAGCAAGTATAGCCAGCCAAATCAGGAATAATAAATTTTTATCAGAAAGATGTTGGAGGAAAAAAAAGCGTCATCGCTTTTTACTTCTTCAGCCAATTTTCACCTTTGAAACAAAAATTTTATACTGATTATTATAAAAAAAATCAAGAATGGAAACGGTAAAAGAATGCCAAGATCAATAAAATATTATGGTAAGAGCTTAAAATTTTATATTATTGGCTTAGCTTTTACCAAATTTTCTACGAAACACTACAAATTCTAACATGATTTTTTTAAAATGCTTAAGTGCTTATCATTTCTGGCTAGATTCGTCCATCTGGCTTTTCAACTTGTAAATTTTACCACAGAGTCACTCACTGTACAAGTGAATGAAGGTAGAAATATCACTCAGATTTTCGAAAAACAGATTGCCAGTTGTGGAACTCTAAAATGAGAGCCACTGGGTCATTCTATCCCTGAAACATGATTACGAATCGATTAAAACGAATTTGTAGTTGAGTTTAAAAACAAACAAATAATGTTTGATGCAAAGCAAAACAATAAAAAAATTTAAAATTATAACATATCTTATTTTGAATGTGATAAACAAAATTAAGGAAAAATTTTTATGGACAGTTTGGAATCTTCTGTATTTCATGTCAAATATTTGTTATTTACTTGATGGTAATCTATGACATAGTTCCTGAAGAATATCCACAATTTTTAGACCCGAATTTTGCTTGAGTTTTCCGAATTATTCATTGTTTCATATAAATCGACAATTCTAAGCTTCTTTGTCGATGTGCCAGAATAGTCAAATGACTATCATCATGGCGACCCATTTATACTTTTTTCCTTAAATGATTCTCTTATCTCACTTTACTAACAACGTATGGAGCAAACCTAGCCAGAAATGGTGAATTCTAATCACTTATCTTCTCTACATTTCATTTTTATTGATGTCTATGTATATCTTTAAACCATCGTTTTCTCTTTTTTTCTAAACTGTAAATTTCGATTGCAGCTGGATCACAGAAATAAAATTCGAAATTAATTAAAGATTTATCTCATATTTAAAAAAAAAAAAAACGAAATGCAGGCTTTATTAATTACTTTATGTCACTGATTTCATTGATTCTAGAAAAATTTATAGCGTTCTAGATCAAATTTATGATCATAATTACCATATCTTCGAAAGAAATAGCAATTTTCCAAACGTAGCACTTCGATCGATGATTCCTTTTTGGCATGGTAATAATTCTTCGTGCTTTGAAAGATAAGAAAGAAATCATGTTGTGAAAAATGTTGTATCGAATAAATTGTCTTTTTTTATAGCTCTGTATATTACATATATTCTCGAATTTTGCAAATAGCACCACAAATATCTTTTCTAAATTAAAATCATACAAATTTTTTGATGGCACTTTTTTGGCACTCATTATTTCTGTCAAGGAATTAGAATTGAACCGAAGCTGTAATGGTTTAACCTTTCAAAATAGCATTTTATTGAACCACAGCGAATTTGGGACACATAACATATGAAACGAATGCTGTGGTTTGAAAAAAAACTGGCTTCGTTCCGAGAAATGCTGCTTTTTTTTTACTGAATATTTCTTATTATTATTATTATCTTTTATTAGTTTTTTCAAGATATTTTCGGTTTTTTTATATCTTTTATACAGTGTTGTGTTTTGCATTGTATGTTTTTTATATCTTTTCATTCTTTTTTTATATTTCTTGAATTTTATATATATTTTTATAATTTCATTCTTTGTAGAGTTGTCCTACTTTAAAGTGTCTTCAGATGTTAAATAAGACTATAAAGCAGAGTTCTAAGTTAAAAGAAATGTTCATCCAATTTTGGGTAATTTTGCTTATGCTTTAATTCGTTTTAATGGATTATAAGATTTTCAGAAAGCAATTGCGAGTTTAAAGTTCTGAGGTCTCTAAATCCGAGATACGCGAGATTAAAGAATAATAATACAAGTAATTAGTGCCATTTATCAACGAGCAATTACCATTACTATTTGCATACATAGTATTTCTAAAGTAGCCACCATTGATTCATTCAGTTTTGTTGAATAAATAAAGATTCTACATATAAAAAGAGAATGATACAAAATTTTCACCTCATTGTCTTATTTAGATGCCAATTTATTACAAAGCTTACGATTATTTGCTTCAAAAAAGGGAAAAGAGAATCTAATTTTTGCCACCTTAGTGCATCAGATTTCTATGTACATTTTCTTGCATAATATGCTTTTTATGAGAAAAATTTTGATCCCTTTAAAAGATTCATTTTGAATCGTTGTGGTAGGTCTTTGTATTTTCTGATTCGTTGTATTTATTTCCTTTAACATTACAATAAAAAAAAAAATTTAGAGCATAAAAAAAACTTTTGGCTGACAAATTTAGTCAATTAAAATTTGGATGGTATATGTGCCGCGTTCAATTTTATATTTGATCATTTGATAAAAAGCTGGGTATTATTGCGTCGGAATTCTGAATAGATTATTTTTACAGTTAAAGAAAAACGCCGCTTATTATTTTTTCCGCAAAAACTTTTACAAATTTTCATAAATTGAAGTTATTTTTAAATATAATATGCACATGTTCCTGGCTCGGTTTTATATAGCTAAGTTAAATAAGTGAAATGTAAATAATAGAATTATATAAAAGCAAGCATGTTCTCTCGGAATTGATACGCTTCTCAATTATTTTCCACTTTAAAATACCTCGAATTTAATTTTTTTTCCATAAATTATGATTGAAATCTAAGCAATAAAAAACGATCCCAAAAAACTTTATTTCAGTCAGAATACTACATACCACGTATCCCACGACCATCATGCATAATACTGTTGTAAAATTCTCTTAAGAAAAAGTATTTAGAATGAATTGAATTAATTTATAACCGAATTTGAGGCATATAATATGCGCGATATTTTCGCGATTAATGAACAGTCCGATGCAGTGAATGGAGATTATTCTTCAACAAATGTGGTAACTTTTTTTTGAAACAGTTTATTTCGCAAATTTCCAAATATCTTACCAATGTTTAAAAAATTTCATAAATGAATTATTTTAAATAATGAAAAATAATTCTGCTAATCTTTTTTCTACTATAATTCTTTTGCTATAATTATCTATTTTTTGTATTGAACATTTTTTTTTTTTGGTGTATGTTTTTGTTTTTCACTGAACTATATTTCAGAAACAGTTTCAGTCCTTGAAAGCCTTATATAGCAAAAGCAGCCTCACTAAGCTATTGTTTTATGCAATTGTCATTCTTTTGTTAATAGCTATTCTTGTTATTCTACTTATATTTTACTCGAACTGGAATTCTCAGTCACAAACGAAAGATAATGCAGATTACTTGAACCAAAATAAAAGTTGGCAATACGGAAAATGCGAATGGGAATGCAGAATAAAGTTGGTTGTTGGTTCTTCAACTCAGGTTTTTGCGATGAACTTTGCATTGATAATTCTAACGTATTAATGGTCAAAAAAATTTCTATTTGTCGAGTTCATACTAGTTAGAAGCCAATTTTCCTTCGCATACTATCTTCTTACTGAACCAAAAATGGATTTGTGATTTTAAAAAACAGTTGATTTTTCTATTATATCAATTGCAATTGCATTTTATAATCGAAAATCTAAGAAGGATTATGTAAATTGCATGAAAATTTGGACTATAGTATAATGTAACGGTTTCTTCACTTCAATAGCAAGATTTTATCGAAATTTTCTTAAGAAACATAAGTTTTTTGAAATTACAGATTTGACGTACCACCACTGATTGTTATCAGCTTGGATGGTTTCCAGTCCGGGTACTTAGAACGTGGCTTATCACCTGCAATATATCGTTTGCAAGAATGTGGTACTTATAGCAAATATATGTTACCTAGTTATCCATCAAAGACTTTTCCGAATCATTATACCATTTCTACTGGTCTATTTCCTGAAAGTCATGGAATCATTGATAATTACATGTATGACAGGAATGTCAACGATCCTGGAGTTAGCACATTCGTTCCCTTGAAAATTGGCCAAAAATGTTTTTAATATAGCTTGACATAAAATAAAATTCGAAAAGAATGAAATTCCCAATAAGAAAATAAAGTTATATAAACTTTATATATAAACTTTATACTTTATACAAACTGAAACATTTAAAGATTAGAAATTTTTCTATTTCGTTTTTCTAAACTTCTTTGCAATCAAGGCAATTATAAGTTTATATATATTTTCATATGAGCTTTGTTAATTTTTACTCTTTTCAGAATTTCTTTCTTAGAAGTTCGAAAAATCCTGATTGGTTTTTCGGTGAACCGGTGAATTTTAATCTGTATTATATGGATTAATTGACTCATAATAAAATACGATATTTTGGTTCCATCAATAATGCATAACAATTTATCTTAAGTTCATTTCTTAATGGGAAATTAATGGCTATTTTTTTTCCATAAATTTTATGGAAATTATGTTCTTAAAATAAAGAAAATTTCTGCGCGAAAATTTGGATCTATTAAGCCGTGCAAAATATGGCTTATCGCCTTAGTTCATTCCTTTCCTTGATTCAAGAAAATAGCAATTTGTTGGGATTTCAATTTTGCAGATTTGGAACACTGTAAAATTTAATCAAAAGAAAACAGGAATATTTAACTGGCCTGCTAGCGAAGTGCCCATTCAAGGTTGTATCATTTAGCCTGATTTCAGAAAAATTATAGTATGGATGTCAATCTTTTGCATTTGTCCACTGAAATAATCAGAGATTCAGAAACCTAATCTATATCTAATTGTAATAGATAATGAATTTCGACTACATCCTTATTTAAATTTAATGTTGGAGTATTTCAGGTCACACTCCCACCTATAAAATGCCATATAATTCTACTATTCCATTTTCTACAAGAATCAAGCAGGTAATTATGATAAATTTTGCGAGTGAAAGAACTGTCAGAGCATAATTATACAAATTGTATGTGAATAATAATAAGTTGAACAATTTCTACTTTTTAGTTAAAATCCAAATTATTCTATCTCTTGCTGAATAAGTAATTTCAGTTAATATTTTGATCTTTGTATTAATTATATGCGCATTTGAAAATGGTATGATCAGATGCAGCTGGCAAATCTTTCTCGAAAAAAACATTGCTGATTTTTTGACAAGTGTGTAATTAATTCCATTTATGATCTAGGCTTTGAAATGGCTGGAATTACCGGAAAAAGATCGCCCATCGTTCATCGCAATTTATATGGAACAACCAGATGATAAGGGTCATAATTTTGGGCCAAACTCTGATGAAGTAATTGCTTAATTAAATAGTTTGCTCAAAATGATGAATTTTAATGATTAAAAAATTTTAATGATTTAATGATTAAAAAATGATTAATTTTGTACTTATTTTTCTTGAGAATTTATGCATTTACAATAGGAATTTTTATAAATTACGAAAATTTTAAAGTTACCTAGTTAAAAATTATGCTTCGAAAGAGTTTTTAAGCGAAAACTTCGAAAAATTCCATATAGATTAAATATATTTAAGGTGGATTCAGTGATTATATATGTCGATGCAATGTTAAATTTTCTCATATCTCATTTATATCAGGCAGAAATTCTTGGTTGCGTTAACATCGTTGTTCTATCGGATCATGGTATGTTTGTTTTCGAAGTTTCACAGAAAATCCATTAAAATTGCCTCAGTTTTTCGCTGATTTTTGTTATTTGACAAAACTAGTTACCTGATTATTTGGTTTCCACATAATTTTCTTTTCTTTTCTCAGATGTGTTGCTTTAATCACTTGAATTTAAAGTAAATTCAAAGTAATAACAGATTAAAAATAATAAGCACTTCTTATTCAATGATTGCTGTTTTCTTAAAAATTTCATTGGTATTTAATGTAAATATAAAAATCAATAGAAATCATTTAGAAATCTTTGTTGCAGGTATGCAAAAATTAGATGATACCAAAAGACTGGTGCTACAAAATTTAATCAATGATAGCAGAGCAATTTTCTTCGATGGGGCAGTGGGGCGAGTGATGTTCAATGACAAATGTAAGCTTATTGTAATTTATTGTACAAAATGAACAAATATTGATAATGATTGGCCATTAGTCGGTTCATATTTTCACGTTAGTGATGTATTTTATTAAGAAAAAAAGTGAAAAAAAACTCAAGCAAAACTTACCATTATCAGTTCACACTTTTTGACTTGGATGACCCAAACAGTAACTGATATCAGAAAACATTCATAATCCTTTGTCCTATTCGGTTAAAAAATAGAATGTTTATTTTTAATTCATCTGATCAAAAAATTGTTTATGAAATTTCTCGAAAAACCAGCAGAAAAATTTTATCAATAATGTGTAGTACGTATGTTAGACAAGAACGAACCAGCACTGGATTAGAAACAACAAATGACAGGAAGATTAGGAAGAATGAATACGAGAAACAATAGAAATACCAGGGACTGGAAGAGAAACTGCAGAAAGTGAAAGCCAAAGTAATCAAGGTGATAATAGTAGCACAGGGGCTATGTCCACTAAGCTAGAAAAGTATCAACAGATTTTCATGCTATAATAGTCATAACACTACATATAAGAAATGTCAGACATCTTTGATCTACAAGAGCGTACTGTTAGAAATTGGTAAGAAATTGCGCAGAACCTTCATGGTTCCCAGACCTCTGATGGAGGACTCGAAGAGAATAATTCATACCACTCAAAGGTGGTGAGAAAGATTTTTTTCTTAGATAGAGTGTTCTGGTTATAATAAATATAATATTTAAGTGGTTAGTTTGATTAGGCTTGCTGGTATAATTTTTTGGCTGGGAATCACTTGGAGGTAGAAATTCATGCACATACCACTACGCTCATTTTTAATAACAATTTATTATTATCGGATGAAAAGGCCGAACCTTGACGCTTAAGGCAAACAATCTAACAAAAAGCATTCCCTGCTATTCTGCCTACAACCGTAGAGTCTCCGTTCATTTCCATCTAAAATCCATTTATCATTTATGCTACGTGAGATTAACAGAACATTTCAGCCGTCGATCTATACAACACAGCACTCAATGCAAAATGCCAAAAAGGCCTTCTTTATCGTATCTATGACCAAAAAACAATACCACAGCGTTTTCACTACGAAAAATCGCCGCGTATCGGTGAATTTGTGATTGACGGAAATCCTGGCGCAAGAATTTTTAGGTATCATCAATTTTTGCCAATTATTTACAGTGCAAATTAATGGAAGAGTTTTAATATTTTTTTTAAAATTTCATTCATATATTCTATCGAGTTTACAGCATCATCAGATCGTTAAAAAATAACCTCGTTACACGTCAAAATAAAAATTTAAAAATACTTTACTAATGAGCAGAAAAAAATTTATGACGTACGAATTCTTTAAAAAAATAATAATTAAATATATGGGTAAGTGTAATCATCCTATGAAAGGGTTTTTGATTATCAATAATTCCAGGTTGCTTCTGTAAAACATTAAGCATGTGCCAAACATCAGCCAGAATTTTAAATTTATATCATATAAGAAAAATTCTAAAATTGCTTATTAAAAGCTTAACAGAAAATTCGAATTCATTTTCTAAGTGGCAATGCATTTGTTTGTGCCGTATTTATTGGCTTGATTTTTTAGCGAAAACCCAAAAGATTTTTCAATGGCAGGTGATCATGGTTATGACAATCGCATCCAAAGTATGAGGGCAATATTCACAGCGATGGGACCAAGTGTGCGTATTAATAATGAAATTCCACCATTTCAAAACACTGAGCTGTACAATTTATTTGTAGGTAAAAATGCTTACTAAATCAAGCTTTTCAAAAAATTTCGAGGATTATCCGCGTTACCAAGAACCTAAGTTCCTAGTCAATTTGCCCGAGATACGAATAACTGCCACTAGCTGGAGGCCAATGGTAAGATTACAGTCGAGCATAATGACGTGAGCAAATCTTAATAAAAATAAAATCTATATGACACTAGGACCTGTATTAACAAATTCTATATTAGCGAAACTGGCAGTCCATAAAAGTGTCGTTAGAAGAGCAAGATATTAGTAGCTACAGTTAAAACCATGTAGAAATCAACGAGTAAAAGCCTAAAAGAATCATTTTTTCAATCTTCCTTTAATCGGGAAGATAGCTGAGTACACAGTGACTCAGATTTTCGAGATGAAAGGCAAAGGCTCGAAAATAGTAATTGAGAGGAGTAAACCTGTCGTTAAAAAGTACTAGCTAGCGGCAGTGGTGACCAACCTGTATTTCTATCACCAAATAATTCCTTTGCAAAAATTTTTAACTTTTAATAGCGAGTGGAGATAATCTAACCAGAAATAGTAAGCATCAATCACTTACTTGATTCTTTTAATTAATTGATAAAATAAATTAAGAAATGATGGGATTACCTTTTTCTGCTCCAAATAATGGGACACTCGGACTTCTACGAACAGTGCTGAGGAATCCAGTTGATTATGAAGAACTAGATGTGACTGCGGTACCTCAGTGTGCAATAAATATGAGCCTTCAAGAATGCGGTAAACAATGCCCTCCTAAAGACTATGTAAATTAAAGAATTTTCGACATTTAGTTATTTTTTTGCGATTTATGCGAAATATTTTTTTCTCAATTATTTGCTTAATATGAACTATATGTTCTAAGTTATTTCGAAAATTTGCTTTCGCTTATAAAATATTTTCAATATAATTCGTCTATTAACAAAGTCTAATATATTTTGGGAGGACGATAAGTTTTTGTTGCCTTAGTTTTCTTCATTTATATGCGAAGTACCAACCTTGCTGCAATCTTTTGTTATCTTTTCAGTTCGAATTCAAAGGGGATAATTGTTTCTTTTTTCCTCTTTCAAAGCAACCAACTAATTTATTGAATGCTTCATATATTTGTGCCGTTCAGTATTGCAATGCTTCGTTGTATTTCGACAGAAAAATGAACAGACCACTTTTTGTGGAAAGCTTGTTGACTTATCCAAGAAAAAAAATCGTTGATAAGTAAGTAAGCAAGTTTCATTTTGAAATTAAAATAATGAA